ATATATATATATATATATATATATACTGTATATATATATGCTAATTGTGAGAAAGCTGTAGTGTTATCCCCTCTCTCAGGGAGGGCCTGACAGCTTGAGGCTCTTCATGCCAGACCTCTCAAGTTTCGCCTGTGGACACCATTCCAAGAACACACTTGGTAAAATTAGTATACGAAAACACCTTCAAGCCCAGTATATAGCTCACTGCTCAGTTGTTAGCACAAGCATTGCATAAAGACTAGTCTCAGCTTTGTAGTAAAGGCTTATTTCATATACTGGAGTGGATAATGGAATCATGATAGCAGAGGATCAAGTGGAAGGATGCAATGAGAGATTCAGCCCAAATGAGACGAGCTGGACATGGGTAACACACCGTGATTTGTCAGTTTAATATTCAGTATGATGGAATAAAATACTGAAAAATGTCTGTCTGGGCCAGATATTATAAAAACATAATTTAATGTGTTTATTGTGTTTAAAGCTTAACTGTAGTTTTTAATAGCTTTTCGAATAGCTTTAGTTTAGCTTCATTGTTTACTCTCAATTAATTTTGTGCTGATTGTGGCCGGAATGATTGTTCTGAAATGGTTATTTTCAAATAAGTTTCTCATTTCAGGGATGAATTATTAGCATGTTACAACAAAAGTGCATATAATATGCATGGATTTGAGATAAATGTTCTAATGCATAGTTTAACATATGATTTGAATAGTTATTATATTATGATGTTTATTAATTAGTCTGTGAAATATTAATTTTTGGCATCTGCATATCAAATGTCCGTTTGGCTCAACTAGGGGACAATCATCGGCAGGGACACCATGAGCTGCTTCTAGAGCCTGTTATGTGACCTAGAACCAAAAGAGCATTGAGTGCGTCACTGTGTCAGGTTACACGGGTATTTGACAAGGGCAGACTGACCAGGTTTGCGTTCAACCTTTGAGCAAATTCATCCTTCAAAGTGTCTGGATGTTTGTACAATGTTATCATTAAACCAGAGTATTTTTAATAAGAGGTAACATAAGATGTTTAATTAAAAGTCAGGCAATATCTCCAGATATCAGTGAAGGTCAGGCGCTGTATGCTGTTGCATAATCACAGCTGCGGTCATAAAAGAACCCACTAATGGTAAGGATTCATTATTCATTTTTTAAGAGCCCTTATTACTGTTTCTTCTGTGAAGTAAAGTGCAATTAAACACAAATAGCCTACAAACTCGTTTTTTTTTTTTTTTTTTTCTGAAGAAAATATTAATGTTGCTTACCTGTAGCCTTAATTATGCTAGGTTGTTGTGGTTGCTATGTTCAATTGAGTTTAAAGATGCAACACAACAGATGCAGGTTTGTAATGATTGATGTAATCGAACCCCCTTTTGCAGTTAAATATGGCCAGTGCTACATCAAGGCTGAAATAACTGATGTAAAGCTACCAGTGCAGCAGTGCAAGAGTCTGCTTGTGCTGAGACGAAGGAAACAGTTCTGCTGTTTTTTGAGAACAGGGTCTTTAGCTTGATTGACTATAAACAGACATCAGCATGATCTTCCAGCCAAGCCTGTTCTTTGGTTTCCACTTTTGCACTCCACTTGTGTGGTGTAAGAGGTTTAGAAGAGACAAGATGGTACAAATATTGTCTATTTCCACTCAAGTTCCTTCAGTGTGTTCTGGCTAGGTTCTTAAGGTTCTCAACCAAGGAATTATAAAATAATAATAATAATAAATATTAAAAATAGGCTAAAAACTAAAAATGTCAATTCATTCCCTCAACAAACGTTTTCTTCCTCATATATCCAGGAAAGCCTATATATATATATATATATATATATATATATGTGAGGGGGCCTGCCTCATATGAGGTGGCCTGCCTCGTTTTCTGATTAGTCTCTGCCTGCCCTGACTTGGATTGTTCTTCTACTGTGATTGTCTGCCGCTTGCCCCGACCTCCTGCCTGTCCCTCGTTTTGTCTCAGCCTAGCCTCCGCTATTGTATCTACTGGTGATTGACCCTGTCTTGTCTGTTTACTCAATAAAAGCTGCAAATGGATCCGGACTCTGCTGATGCTTCGCAACACTTTGAATATTGTTGTGGGGCCTTGAAGTCAAAAAGGCTGAGAACCCCTGAAATAGTATTATTTAATTGAATTAGGGCTGTTAATTTAAAGTGTTCATTTAGTGTGTTTAATTATTAAAAATATGTAATAAAAATTTCTTTTTTATATTTTTATTATAAAGTTTTTTTTAATAGACATTTAGTAATTATATTTACTACCACCTAAGCAATTCAGGTTTGAATGAGCACTTTTGAGTTTTTGAGAGTGTGCAATCATGCTGTCTGTTCACTGATTTTGTAGTCTTTCAAATCATCTTAATTTGGGTGCTTTTTAAGCAAATATTGATACATATAATTAATTTGATTAATCATAATACCATTTTGATATCAGGTGACAGTTGTAATTGCTTATTATTAAAGTGTTTTTGCATGTTCACGCACAATCTGCTGCACATTGCCCTCAAGCATACGTTCACCATTGTTTACATCATACTAACTGAACAGGAACTTGTTTTGCATGCCTATGGTACATGATGTACTGCCCTGAGACGTCAGGAATACAATGAAAAACAGGCCCCACTTCACTGAAGAGTCTCAGTGTCAGTCTTCCCTGTACAATAGTAAGGTCAGCAGTTTAGTCAACACATGACCCCACATGCCTTGTGTCACAGACCACTCTGGCTCTGATTGGTGGAAACGGCCCATCCCAGGCAACTCCCCCTTCCTCCACGTAAACGCATTCACTGGTTTTCTTGGGAATGTATTTTCACAATCAGTCACGTGCTATAAGCTTATAGACTGCACTGTAAAGAACCATACAGGCAGGCTTTAGGGTAGATAAGGTAATAATAATTACAGCTAAATATAGTGAATATTTTATCTATTTATGTACAAAGTGTTATTATATAATGACTGTCAAGAGACAGCAAAACTAATCACAATCCATTATGAAATGTTAATATAAATACATTAGTGTTTATTAGTATCTTGACCACCATGTCAATAAATTGTATTCATATATAGTTATTTTAACTTGGACATTGTAATCACACAAAGCATTGGTAGTCTCCTGAGTCTCCTCAGACCCCAGACCATCTAAATCACATTCTCCAATTCCTAGAAACCCCGCCAGTGTATCTGGAATGTACTCTAGTGTTCTGGTGTGTCCTGTGGAGAAATCAACAGGTCATAGAGTGTATGCTGACAGTACGCTGTGTAATCGGATAGCTGGGCAGTCCTTGCTTTAACATGGGCAAATTCTCTTAGGTTGTTAATTGCATAAAAGACACATAAAATACACATAAAAGAATGTATGCTTTTAGTGGCATCTAACATCCACTTCCATTTCTTAACAATATTTTTATATGTTACCATCTGATACACTTGGTGTACCCTGATGTACATCTGTGCAGTTTTTCTTTTTCCCCATCTGCAATTACACTGAACAAAATTATAAACGCAACACTTTCGTTTTTGCCCCCATTTTTCATGAGCTGAACTCAAAGATCTAAGACTTTTTCTATGTACACAAAAGGCCTATTTCTCTCAAATATTGTTCACAAATCTGTCTAAATCTGTGTTAGTGAGCACTTCTCCTTTGCCGAGATAATCCATCCACCTCACAGGTGTGGCATATCAAGATGCTGATTAGATATGTGCAGTTTTACTGTACTGGGAGGGTCTGGGGTGGGGGTCCGAAAACCAGTCAGTATCTGGTGTGACCACCATTTGCCTATACTAAGCTGTATGAGACATGAAAAAATTTTCAATTTTGAGAGCATGCAATGGTGGTGGAATAATAATCAGTAAACCACCACTCAATCACCCACATATCTTTTCTATGACGACTTCCAGCCACAGACACACAACTCGTGCTACTGTAAACATTGCGTTTACAGCTGCTGCTTTCCTGCCACGTGAGCAGATTGTGTGTGTTAAATCCATTAAACGCGTGCATTAAATGTAATGCATTGTCAGCATTATTTCACCATCGCAATGCCATATTCAGCAAGCAATTAGAATTAAATATAAATTAGGCAGTTAACTGTGGATTTCAGTCGATTCATTGACTGATCTGTTATTTTAAAACGCAACCACAAAGAGCTGTTCACCGTCATAATAACACAGTGGACAAACATAGTCTCGAATAAACGCTAATTGCGTTAAAAAACTTGAAAACGGAATGTTAAAGATGATTAAAATAACTATAATGCCTTGTACTGTACAAGTAATGCCGCTGACGCTTGTTTGCAGCGTTCTTGTCGCGTTGCGTCGCATCAACAAAGTGTTTGATTGGTCCACTGTGTGAGACGTCATGACTCCAACCACAAACGTGAAAGACGCGTCGCGCGCATACTAATCGATACAGTAGGCAGCTTCATTGACTGTATAGCTGTTTGTCGCGTCGCGTAGCTAGCAATGTAGATGAGCGCAAAGGGTTAACTGTGATGTCAGCTGTCGAGGCAGGGGCTGCTACTCACCGCAAACCGGTTCCACACTGCTTTAAATACAACACCAGCACAGACAGTCAGTGAACAGATAGTGTGTCAAACGCTGGAGACAAAATACATGAGCGAAGAGCAGCGAACATCAACCGGATTCAGCAGCGTCCGAGGATCCACAAGTACTTTTGAATGGCTGTGACATCCTAACGCCTCTGCCGCATCCCACGTATGTGTTACAGGGAATTTCATCCCTCTCTGGCCCCTTATTTCCATCCTGTTTATAGTCATTAGCAAATGTAAATGCATACACTTGTTTGGGTTAACATATTCATATGCACTGTGAAGGGGGCTTGTTCTTACAGCACAGCGGATGATTGTTTACATTCATTGGGTCTGTGACTGTAATGATCCGTGACATTCGGTTTCTGTATCAATCGTGCAATTATACGATTATATACATTTTATGTTCTAGACGTGGATTTAATTTCGATTAACTAAACATTATTTTTTTGATATACAGCAGAATACTTCTATGTCATTTCTCTATTTTATCTATTATCCATGATTCAGTACTGATTGCAATGTATGTGTGTGTATGCATTATTCATTTTTAATGACCTTAGCAGTGACCTCCTTGTCTGGATGATATTCTGTTGTAATTAGTTGAGATGAGTCTTAAAGTGTTTGTGATTATAGGCTATTATGCAGTAGTTATCCTGCAGCTCTAGTGTCAAATTAAGCATTATACATTTGCATACACTGCAAACACTGTACATTTGGATGCTTGCACTATTATTGGCACCAATATCTAATAGCAGAACTATTGGAGCCATGTCAGTCCCATGTGAATGTGTGCATCTGTCTAAATGTGAAGGATCAGTCTGTTGTGTTTGAACAATGAAGACTTGCTTGAAGGTTTTTACACAATCTCAGGGTTACATCTACGGGGCAAATTATTTGGGTTAATTAGATTGTCAGGTTTTTCTAAAAGCCAGAGTTTCCACAGTCATGGAAAACCTAAAAAGATTAGGGAATTTTAAAACTGTGATTTCCAGGCAAAGTCTGTAGTGAATGTCTAGTTCTGTATTTCCCTAAAATATTTATTTGGCTTGAAATGCTTGACCTTCAGTCTGTCCGCTGAGGGTCATTTGTACAGAACTAAATATAAATATTTAAATCTGTTAATTCAAAAAATGGCCACCTGACAAACAAATGAAAATTTGCCCAGCAATCTCTGTAAAATTAATTCTAAATAAATCTTTTAGTAATCATGAACAGCTGGAAAGGTCATGGGCAAGTCATTAAATAAATTGTTCAAAAAGTGTGGGAACTCTGCATGCATACAAAATTATTTTTCTTTCTTTCCTTCCCATTAATGCCAACTTGGTCTGCCTGATCAGAATTACGCAAGCCCTAGCTTGCGTATTGTGATATAGTGTACACAGGATTTCTTTTTTATTTTTTATTGCAGACAATTACTGCAATAACTTGCAATTAGCTAATTACTTTAAACATTACGTGTTGTGCACTACAGAGAGGCAGTAGTTTTCTGGGTTGGTAGAGCATGCCAGAATCAGGCATTATTAAACCCTTGGCAATGCTTAAGGAACACCACTTGTAATACTTTTTTGAGCAATGTCATTGTATTCTGTCATTGTCATTGCAATGTCAATGTCGCTTGCAGTCTTTGGGGGTTCTATGATATTTTACCTTTCACCTAAATAGTCAAAGAGATCTTGGCTCGAGTTGAGCAAGGCAGCACGTTTTTATTAGACCTAGTTCACGCTACAGGTTTTTTTCTTCTCCATTAGGGCTGCAGCTGTAAAATTTCACACAATCGTATACTGTTTATTGTAGAGATGTTTAATGTTATCATACTCACTAAACACACACACAGATGGCTCATCAACATCACAGTTGCCTTTGCATACTTGACTGTGCACTTTCACACAAACAGCTATTAATTTTAGTGCTGAAGTGCACAGATAATTATATTGCTTGATTTAATGATAAAATGATCAAATACTTGTTTATTAATAGAAAATACTTTGTTACATGTAAAAGAGCAACAGAGAACATTACTGGAACATAATAAAACAAAATAGAGATTTTAAGATGATTTTAAGGTGTTGATTTGAGTAGTTTCATGTTTGCCTTTAAAAGCTTGACATCTCTCTATTTCAGAGTCAGACCATGAATTACGTGGGTCAGCTAGCCGGTCAGGTTTTTGTGCAGGTGAAGGAGCTGTACAGAGGCCTTAACCCTGCCACCCTGTCCGGCTGTATCGATGTTATTGTGGTGCGTCAGCCCGACGGAACTCTGCAGTGTTCACCTTTTCACGTCCGTTTCGGCAAGATGGGAGTGCTGCGCTCCCGGGAGAAAGTGGTAAGCAGTAGCTCAGACATGTTTTATGGTGGCAGCATATGAGATTTTTCATATTTTTGCAGCTTACCATTTCGCTGATTCAACTTGTGTGTGTTAAAGGGTTATTTCACTCTTTCATTATTTACTTTTGAGGTTTGTTGTCATGTGTTACACAAGCACATTCGAGCCTCTGCAAGAACCAATGAGTGCATTTATATGCACATTCTTAAACTGATTATGCTTGTGGCAATGCATGTGGTCATGTAAACATGGTAAACCGTTTCCCTTTATCGGCATAAGGATATAAACGGCTTGAGAATAAACTGATCAACACAGCTAGATATTTATCCATTACCCTTATTTCACCCGGCATGCAAACACTTTAACCTGCATCCTGTTGGCTTACTCAAGTGCTCATGTGCGATATGTAACTGGAAAGCGTCATACGGCACATTTAAGCGCATGCAGTCACAGCAAATGTTTCGCATTAGGGGATTATTTTACAAACTCTGACTTTTTCTTGACCCAAGAAATATATAAAAAAGTGTTCTCATCTTGTGCAGCCAAAGGACAGGTGGTAGAGTCGTAGAAACTTGTAGAATAAGTCTGTGCAAGTTTCCCGCTGACATTTTGAAATACTCAAATACTCAGGTTTTTAATGCTGTATTTAAAGCTGCAGTCCGTAACTTTTTTTGTTTAAAAATGATCCAAAATCAATTTTTGAGCAGGTACATAACCTGCCATTGTTCAAAACTATTGCCTTACTTTAGCTCGATTCACAATGGTAAGCTTGTAATAAAGCTTTCTAATTTGAGTGGTACGGGTAGGTTTTCGTGGGAAATTCGAGCATGGCGCTGCGTCATTACGTCACGTCTGTAAACATAAAGAATTTATCTTGGCTAGTATGCTATATTGCACGTGAGGATGCTGCAGGTGACGGATCGTTTATAGCCTTTTCTCACACCAGCTGGAATAAATGGCCGATTGAATTTGAAAACAAAATATAATAATAATAATAATTGGCACGGTTTGATGTGATATAGAGCTAACCGATCGTTAGATTTAATCACCATTGATAGCGTAATTTATTGCTTTTTTCCTCAGTTGATCAGAACAAAAGTGGCAGTTGTTACTTACTTGTTCAGATGACATTCTCCAGTGAAAACTCTTATCTGCACAAGGCTGGAATGGGCTACAAGACCATCAGCAAGAAGCTTGGTGAGGAGACAGCTGTTGGTGTGATTATTTGGAAATGGAAGAAGCTTGCTAATGATCTTAAGGCAGTTGGGACCACAGTCACCAAGTAAACCATTGGTAACACACTATGCTGCAATGGACTGAAATCCTGCAGCGCCTGCAAGGTCCCCCTGCTGAAGAAGGCACATGTACAGGCCCGTTTAAAGTTTGCCAAAGAACATCTAAATGATTCAGAGAAGGCTTGGGAGTAAGAAACCTTAAGGATTTAGAGAGGATCTGTAAAGAGGAGTGGATCAAAATCCCTCCTGAGATGTGTGCAAACCTGGTGACCAACTACAAAAAACGTCTTACCTCTGTGCTTGCCAACAAGGGTTTTTGCACCAAGTACAAGTACATGTTTTGCCTGGGGATCAAATACTTATTTCACTCACTGTAATGCAAATACATTTCTAACCTTTATATAATGTGTTTTTTATAATGGGCAAACTTACAAAATCAGCAGGGGAGCAAATAAATATTTTCCCCACTGCATATGGGTCATACTTTCAAGATGTAGAATCTGTGAATACAAAGTGCAGTCCACACCGGTGCGATGACTGACAGCCACACATTAGATTCATCCATGCTGGAGCCGTGCCGGTGCACAACCCACGCAAGGAAGATAATTCCGCAAATAGCTGCAGTTGCAGGTTTTCAAACAGAGATGGAGACAAAGAGGCAAAACTTAGGCTACGTTTACACGACAACGATGTAGTCAAAAGCGGAAAAGTTTTTCCCTTGCGTTTTTAAAAAGTTTCACGTATACACGACAACGTTTTCAAAACGATTCGCGTTTATACATAAACGGCCAAAAACGCTGTATTACGTATGCCAGGCCAGTAGTTGGCGCTGTCACCTTGTTAGTAAACAGTACCTGTAGGGAAGTGACGATTATATGTTGTATATGATGCGTCTCCGCTGTTGGTTGTAATATTGGTGAAGTAACTCCACACTTTGCTGAAGAAGCATTAGCAAACTCCGCAACCACAGTACCATGTACTCCACCATTGTTGTCATTGATGTTTGTTCGCGCTTGCCTTTAAAATCGACACGTACTGCGCATGTCTACATACCTAACACGTACTATGCACGCGCATGACGTCACTGTTTTCAAAGATTCTCGTTTTGGGTGTTTACACGGAAACGACAACGATGCCGTTTTCAAAAACTTGCACTTTGAAACCCGTTTTCAAAAATATGCATTTTCATTCCCCAAAACGCCGTTGTCGTGTAAATGAACAGGCAAAATGCATAAAAAGTAAACGGCCCCTTACAGACTGCAGCTTTAACATCACAACTCACATAATAACAGATGCTTAAATTTTGACGTCATAACCGGGGAATAATCTGATTTTTAATACAGTGTTGTAAACACTGTTTACTTGCATTGCTTGGTTATTGATTTGCATGCAATTGAAAGGTTAATTCAATAAACTGATTTTTGGTAATTATCAGCACATTGGTATGCATGTAAACGTGCTCAATTAGGGTTGTTATCATGCATCAAGCAAGCACATTTGAGCATCCGTTTACCATGTTTGATGTCCTCTATGTATGTGCGATGATCAATGTTTATACGTGAATAAAAGCCTAAATTAAATCTGTTCATCATATAAAGTGTTCCAGTCTCTTCAGAAGATTTGGTAAACTGCTCAATTCAAATGGATTACATTTACAATGTCTTTTGTACTTTTTAATGTGTGAAAGTTTCGATTGTGTGCACTTTAAATGAAGAGACAAAAAGGATAAGAGAATATAAAAAAATATCTTAATTTGTGTTCTGAAGATGAACGAAAGTCTCATGTTTGTTTAATATTAGAACTGTACATTTCTGCCATATGGACATTGGACATATGGACATAAATATAGTCTTTGAAGTTGTAGACTTATAGGAAAAACTGTTGTTTCATGATGGGATAAAATTAGCACTGTCATTGGCCTTGTGTTGCACATGGCTTACTGTTGTAAATTGTCTTTATTATAGTGACAGCATTCCATGTTCCCTTTCTCCTCAGGTTGACATTGAGATAAATGGGGAGCCGGTCAGTTTACACATGAAACTAGGTGAAAATGGAGAGGCATTCTTTGTCAAAGAAACAGAAAATGATGAGGTGAGTACTGGCGTCCTGTACCAAACAATAAATTGTTGCATTGTTTTTATTGCAGCCAAGGTTCATTGTGTACTGAGAAATGTAACATATGCAAGTATGTACGTATGCACGTCTCCTCAATAGTACAATATCTTGAAATCTGAACTTGTTTACTGGAAACAATCCTGCCACATGCATTCTGCTACCTGAGCTTGAACACTTTGCTCTAGAACAGACCCTTTCTGCCAAGGGCACCGTTGTCCTGTCTAAAACAACACCCATCTTTATGCTTCCCAAGCTTGAAAGAAAAAGCTGACCAATTTAAAGGGCAAAGTAATGCACAGGAGAAAAGCCCTGAAACACTGTACGACTGCTGAGATAAGAAAAGCTCTGTCCGTGTCATGCCGGTTATCCTCCTGGCTTAGTCTTTTAGACTTCCTCATTACTTTCTGACCACAGATGTTTTCTTGCTCATCACAGGAACAAATGCCTGAGATGAATATCTGCTGAGGTACATTGTGTTCGGTAATTGCTAGAATGGTTGCCCTGGTTAGCACTCATGTGGAACATTCTGGCTCTTGAAGGATTGTGACAACGGCTCAAAAGAGAGATGCACTTGTCCTATGACATTTAACACATTGGATGCTTTGGTGTCGCATTTTAGGAGATGATCTTCTACAGATGTAATGTCATGTATTTTTTGACAAGTTTTATATTCATATAGTTCTAGAGATACTACAATGTACTACCACAATGTTTAATACTCTATATAATTTATAATTATATATAATATAAATAATTTTTTTTGCCTTTATTTGTTGCCTTTATTATCAATGACAGTGGGGAAAGTGTGTTTTAAACAAGTATGACATACATACTTCATATCCTTGTAATGATGTGTGACAGTATTACCTGAACATACTGTGTTTAGCATTTTTAGCAGTTTTAAAATAGCAGTTTTAATGCAGAAGAGGCTTTTTCACTGAAGTGCAGTGAACTTGGGATTGTCTTGTTGCCAGTACAAAAGATTAAAGCTGTTGAAGGGGATTTTTTTTTCTTGGAACACAGAATGTCAGATGACATGTATTACTCAAATGGATATCCTGAGAAGGTAACCTCTGCCAATCTCAACCGATGGCATTAGTTTGTGGTGCAACTAATTAACTTTAGCCTCTCCTCCTCTAATGAAACGGGATTTTAAAGTGCTAAAGAACTCTGGCTTTCTGTATTAGTTGTTGTGATGGTTCCTGCTGTTGTATAGTCAGTGTATCTATTTGTGTTGTGGTGATAATGTTTAGCAGAGCTAGATTTGATAATGGTCTGTCTGCTTCAATGGGAGTGATAACTGATGTATGAGCTGGCAGTGTTGGCCGTCTGGTTCTCAAGGTCAATTGAGTGACGTAAACAACTGAACATTATTTATATTTATGTGCAGCCATGCACTTATGTCTTATGAACCCATGACTTAGAGACAGTTCAGAGCTGTGGCACGTGCATGAATTTGTCTGTAATTAAAGATGCAGTGATCTGTGACAAGGTATTAGGGTCACAGTGTTGTGCTTCTGGAATTTAAGTGGACACAGTCAAACTAAATCTATGGCTACAGTCTACATTCATGGTTATATGAGTGAGTGGGTGAATTATCACATTTTACAGGCCATAAATATTTCTACTGGTAATGGAACTATATAGTTATTATTATTATTTCCAATATTTTACTTAGAATTTTTTTTTTCTTAGAAAATTGGCTACAAATAGATCTAGATGTTTTCCTACAACGATTGAAAAAAAAAAAACCTTTAAAATGCAAAAACTCCCTAAAGCATTACTACATTTAGTACTATTATTTCTCTCTCTACAGGAGATGGTGCCGTCCCACTTGGCTACATCGCCCATAATTTCAGAGGGCTCTGCCCTAATGCAGGCCCAAGTTGGAAAAGGTATGTCCCGTCTGTCTGAGTCTGGAAGCGGAACATCCATTCAAACCCTGGGCCCCATGCAGGCCCCTGGTGACAGTTCAGTAATGAAGAAGAGAAGGAAGAGGAGGAGAAAATCTCAAGTAGACAGCATGAAGCGAGAAGACAACAGAGACTTTTCTGAAGACGAGGACATGTTTGCCATTGATATGAGTTCTGATGAAGATACAGAGGCTACAGTAAGCAGGTCAGAACAATCAGTAGATATGGAGAAAGTTTTTAATCTGATAAATATTATTACACATGACTTTCGTGTCATTCTAAACCTGTATGAGTTTTTTTTCTTCCATGGAACACAAAAGAAGAAATTTTGAACAATGTCCATGCCACTCTTTTCCATACCAGGAAAACATCAAAAATGAAATAAATAAATAAATAAATATAATGTTAATGTTAATGTTAATGCATGTAACATTTACTAATGCATTATTAAAATCAAAAGTTGTGCTTCTTAACATTAGTTAATGCACTGTGAATTAACATGACCTAACAATGAACAACTGTATTTTCATTAACATTAACAAAGATTATTAAATACTGTAATAAATGTATTGTTCATTGTTTGTTCATGTTAGTTAATACATTAACTAATGGAACCTAATTGTAAAGTGTTACCGAAGTAGACCATATGGCTTTGCATATTCAAATTTAGCACATCGCAATTGGTTTTGAGACATGTAATATAATTGACATATAATTGACATAAAACCTGTTGACTGTATGTGAACTTAAATGAGTTTTGAGAGCTGAGATGGATGGTGTTTTTTGAAGCATGTCAGCCCCTGGTCACTATTCACTTTCATTGTATGTGGGTAAATGGGGATAGTGGTCTTACCAAGATCTCACACTGAATCTAAATCCCACTTTTCTATGAGTTCAGCCTCGCAGGAGCTGTGGAGCTTAACTTATTTCCTGTATATAGCATAGAGCATGCAACATTTAGGACAGAATAGATGGTTCTGATAATGCAAAGAGATCCTCCTTCTCTTAACCCATTTGAAAACACTGCAAATTATGTGATTGCAGTGGCATCATTTGTTTGATGGAATGAATCCAGTTGCAGTGGTCTTGTGATGTGGGCTGTGTCTGTTTGTTCACTCTTCGAATAAGCTCTGCAATGGAGAGAGAGAGGCTAAGTAGAGAAAAAGAGGTCGCCAGTCCTATTGCTGAAGTAAACAAGCGGCTCAAACAGCCCCTCCAATGTTTTTCCACGAAATTCATGAAACCATGCCAGTTCTGGCTCCAGCTCGAGGGGAGTCCTTTGTTATGCTGGGCAATCTAGCATTTCCCCCACATATCTAAGAAAAGAAATGAAACACACAAACATCTTTTTCCCTTCTTTCACTCCCAGTGGACTACAAGTTATGTATTTTATCTGTTCAATCTGGATAAGCAAGTTAAAAGGTCAATCTTTTAGTGCACTACATGCTTTGCATTACCAAGAACCTGCTTCCCAGGTTCCAGTAATGAATTTAAAAAGTGACGGTAAAAGCCACTGGGAAAACACTGTTCACAAGGCCAAAAAGAGTCAGCTGGGAATGAATCTAAACTCAAGAATGTGTTGCTCGGCAAAGCAGCAGTTTGAATCCAGCTCTTTAGAAACCCCACAATGCTCTCTGTCTTCCTGGAAGAATGAGCCTGTTGATGACAAGCACTGCAGATTATCCTTGGCTATATCTATAGGCATGGCATATAAATGTACTTTAAATGTATACAATGTCTTACTCTTACCTTTTGCAGGTATATATACTTACTTACATGTTTGCCTATACTGTATGTGTTTTCAGAGCCATGTCACATGTGCTATTTGCTGAGCAGGTGAAAGGAACTAGCAGCACATACACACAGTCTGAAGGGAACTGGACTGGTTTTCAAAGGTATGCCACTTAAGACTCCCTGGTTCCAGCCACATCACAATTATGAAAAACAAAGTCACAATTGCAAGATACAAAGTCGCAAAGTTGAAGTAAAGAGAATGAACATACCATATATAATACATATCAAAAGACACAACAATGTACCACAACTAGTATACAACATAAAAACAGCCTCTTACCTGGAGACTCCTGCCAGTCATTTAGGTGATTTTAGAAAGTAAAACAGGCCTTAAAGTTATTGTGTGCATTTCAAAGAAAAGGGCATCAATGCAGGACTGTATTTGTGCCAGTCAGTTGAATGAAATAATTTATATGAAACACTGCCGTGCCAGTGATTCCACGAAAAAACAATAAGATGCCTGTGAAGTGAAAAAAAAAAAACCTGTGAAATCCAAAAATGTGTAGTATGTCAGACTTATTTATTATTATGCTTATACAGTATATTATTTATTTTATACATGAAATTCAAAATAATGGACATTTGAAAATAAAGCTTTGTTTTCTGACCCCCAGCAAAGGGTTGGGGAAGACCTGCTCTTTACCCATTCCCACCAGTTCAGGATTATCCATTTCCTGCCCTCAACAAACAGCCATGTTTCAGTCCACACACAGGTAACCGCCACAATCGCTATACAATGTAATTAAACTTTAAACAAAGCCATAAACTGTAACTTAAGCTTTAAAAGCCTTACATTTCTCTAGTGTATTGTCCAATTTAAAGATTTTTCCTGTTTGTCTAGCATGGAATTCAGTGTTGCACAGTACAAGTAATTAAAAGTTGAAGGCATTGTTCCTATCATATTTCACAACAGCTGTATAAATACAAATCTACAGTTAATCCAAATGTCTCTCATTCCTCCTTACAGCAGCCCAAATGGCTCCTTGCCATCCACACCCAAGAGTGACTCCGAATTGCTGACCAGTCAGAGGAGAGAAGGGAAACCGGACAACCCTGAGATGCTTTGGACGTGGGGAGAGCTGCCTCATGCTGCAAAGGTACAATAATCACTAGACATGCCACATTAACAAATGTGAAGCAGCTATCTCTACGTCATTCTTTTCCTTTTTCCACAGCCATCATTCCTGCAGCCCATTTCGGAGCCTATGGTGGTGACCCCAAGATCAATCCCACCATCTGAAAGCAGACACTTCAGAGCCATCACTGGAGATGGGATGGTGGAGTCTCAGGGCAGTGATGTGTATGTGCCTGATCTCAGGGTTGAAGAGGCAGCATCTGCCGCTGCTGTAGATGTGGAGGCCATCAGTGCTGCAACACATCTCATCACAGACCTAGAAGAGGGGCGGCACAGTCCTGGAGCTCATGCCATTAGCAAGACAGACTCTCCATCCAAGAAAAAAGGTATGTAACTTTTTATGATAAAGTTACAAATCAAAACGTATTTGGCTACTTTTTAAAACATCTAATGCCACACTACATCAATTCCTAGACAAAAGGAGCCGGCACCTGGGATCAGATGGTGTATATCTGGATGACATCACAGAGTTGGAGCCTGAGGTGGCAGCCTTGTACTTTCCAAAGAGGTATATTTTCACTTGTTCATTTATGATCCAGATGTAATGTAAGTATTTTAAAATTATTTTTAATTGTCAAATTAATTTTTTGTTGCTCAGTGAGGGAGCAACTTCTGTGAGGGGTGAGGCAGATCCAAGAAGTGCCAATCAGTCCCCTCAATCAGTGGGCAGCAGTGGAATGGACAGTGGGGTGGACAGCTTTTCTGACCAGTTAGGAGACTTGCCTCATATTGCCATCTCTCTCTGTGGAGGACTGTCAGAAAACAGAGAGATCACTAGAGGTAAAAGGACAAGTTATGATGTACCTTTAAACTACTATTAAAAAGTTTGGGGAAGGTAATATTTTTTTAATGTTTTCAAACGAGGTCTCTTAAGCTCACCAAGGCTACATTTTTCACCTTTGTCACCTTTGAACTTGGTGAATTACTTTTTACCAAGTATACATTAAACCTTACTGACCCCAAACCTTTCAATGGTAGTGTAAAACAATGTATTTTCAGTGGCTGTTCTGTTATTCTGTAGGCTCTGTATTAATATCCTGTTTTTTCTAGATTTCATTAGCTGGGGAAGTAATTAAGCCATTAAATCTTTCATTCACAGAGGAATTCGAGGAACGAGCAATATCTTATCAGGAGTTTGCAGATAATCCATCTATCATTGATGATCCCAACCTGGTCGTAAAGATTGGCACTAAGTATGTCATAAATCCTTTTGCCACATAAAAACATATATAATGTCTTTCATCAAAATATTGTCAAAATACTCTTAGACTTACAATTAAGTACGGTAGTTTATTACATTTGTCAGTTATTTCACACATTTTGTTCTCTCCACAAAGGTATTATAACTGGACCACAGCCGCTCCTATTGTACTAGCCATGCAGGTTTTCCAGAAGCCCTTGCCAAAGGTAAGGACTGCATAAACAACACACACATGTACATAAAGGTCTTTAGCTATTCAACCAACACTGAGTACGTTTACATGGACAACAATAATCAGATTTTAACACGATTAAGACAATACTCTAATTAAGAATCTACCATGTAAACAGATTTTTGATCACCTTAATCTGGCTAAAGTCATATTCGAAGTAAACAGAAATCGAATTGAGACATGTGGAGTATTCCTATTTTAGTCGCATTACTGAAGTTCAGTATAGACATGTAAACACCTTAAAGGGGTCATATGATGCGATTTCAAGTTTTCCTTTCTCTTTGGAGTGTTACAAGCTGATTGT